AGGCAAAACGCCTTTTGGAAGAATTCAGGTTACTGTCAAGCATAGGTTGGACAAATAAAGCGGAAACATTCGAAAATGTGGTAAAGACGACGGAAGAAATAGTGACAGCAGTGTGTGACACGTCTATGCCTTGAAGAGGCCCCACGAATAAACAACAAATGGACCTCGTAAATATCAGAAGCACGTAAGAGCTTCGTCAAGGCTAGAAGAATGGCGACAAGAGCTAGGACCGACCTCTGCCTTAGAGAGCATTATAAAGCGACTTAAAAGAGAAATTAAAAGGAGCAAAAGTAGAAGTTGGAAGGTACTCCTAAGGCAGGTTGATAATGAACCTTGGGATATGGCTTTTAAGATAGTGACTAAGAAGTTTCGGATGGATTCCAAAATATCTTACCTGAATGACCCACAATGGATGAAGAGAGCTATTAGAGAGATTTCCCACAAGGGATCGTTGGGTGAGGTAAATACAATGATTTTATGTTCAACGATGTTGATTACTTTACGACAGGCGAATTGTGAAAAGCAGAGAATATGAAAACCGGGCTTGCATGGGATCCCCAGCGAAATATTAAAATTAGTGGTACAAGTATATCCAGAATGTCTTAATAACTTTGAGAAATGGGTCTGTTGAAAGTATGGGGAGGTGAATTATTACGTATCCAGGCTTTTACGGTTCACGTTGGCTTTGCTAAATACCTTTACGATTACAAGATTAAAGAAAGTCTGAAATGTAACTTATGTCGAGAAGATATTGACGATGCAGAGCATACACTGTTTCAGTGCAAGGCATGGGATGCAGAAAGGGAGATTTGTAACGTTAAGCTTCAACAAATGATAACTCCAGAAAACATGGTGGACATGATGTTGAGTTCGGAGGAGAAGTTGACTGTAATAAGAGTTAGTTAATACTAGACTTAGTTAATATCTTGAAGGAAAATGAGCGGAGGAGTTAAAGCACTAGCTTCCAGTCAATCTTCCACGCAAAGTAATATCTAGCGACGGTTTCCGCGTGGGAGAAATAACGACTTCGGTGGTCCGTCACCGGTCAATACCAAGAACGGTAGTCCATCACCGATCTCCATAAAGGCAAATACTATAGAGATATCTCTATAATATTTGTTAAGGATTTCCTCTCTTCCAAAATAATAATAATAATATACTTGTTACATAAATATTAAATACAAGATTATTGAATGCTAATTAATTTTATACATGGTAGTGTAAGAAGACTAGTGTAGATAAGTGTTTATGATGTATATATTCTTTTGTACTATAGAATGTATTGTTTAATAGGAAAGCTTTCAGTTTATTTTTGAATGTGAGTCTAGAGTTTAAGCTTTTAAATTCGCTAGGAAGTTTATTATATAGTGTAATGCCTTCTGTAAGAATACTTTTTTCAAACAGTGAAGTTCCACTGTCTGGAACATTCAGATTTCCTTTTTGTTTAGTATCATAGTTATGAACTTCTGTGTTCAGAGTAACAGAATACTTGCTTCCCATAAGTGTCTTCTTTGCGAAGATTAATATTTCAAATATATACATGCATGGGAGCGGTAGTATTTGTAATTTTTTGAACAGTGGTTTGCAGGACTCATGTTTGTGAGTGTCATTATTCTCAATATTCGTTTTTGAATGCTGAAAGCGCGAATGACTATTGAATGTTGGATTGCGCAGAACATTTTTGTAGTAAAGTTCAATGTTCTTAGCGTTTCTGTTTTTAGAGTATTTTTCACAATGTTCCTCATTGCTTTTGTTTTGTGCTTTAGCAATACATTGATCATTCGTTAACAGTTTGGCCTGTTTAATTACTTTCTTCATGATACTTTTGTATGGTTGTAATAAGCAATGAAATCACAGCTACATCCGTGGTTAAGGATTGCTTCATGCATGATTTGTGGTTTAAGCTGTTTATTTTTTTTCAATGTTTGTGGAAAAAGAGTTGAAATAACTTTGGAATATGTTTATGTATAAGTTAAATTTTGTATTCATGTCTGGTGCTTTGTACACCACCTCCCAGTTTTCTGAACTTATTAAAGAATTAAATTTGTCTAAGTTTTCCTGAAATAAGTTTCGTCTTTCTCTATAGTGTTTCCTTAATAACTTTTATGTACGTTTTGAGTTTGAGTCACTAAGCCCTGTGTTATTTGTAACATCTGAATAGTTGCAATTATTTGTGACTATTATTTGATCACTGGCAGTACTGCTTTTGTAAGATATTCTGGTAGGTTGATTTATAATAGTTTGTAAGTTGAAAGATTTAAGTAAATTTTTGAATAGTTTCTCTTCATTTGATTTTGACAAATAGTTTATATTGTAATCGCCGCATAATATAATTTTATAGTTTCCGCGTCTTTTATTTTTGACAAGAATAGTTTCAAGATTTTTTAAGGAAACATTTGTGTTTCCTGCTGGGCTGTGGTATGTACATAAAGTCCATACTCTTTGTTTCGGAAAATCTTTAATAGATATTTCAAAGTTTTATTTTTTAAGAGAGAGCAGTAATCTGTGATTGACACGTAATTAATATTATTTTTAACGAAGATGCAAGTACCACCAAAAGTGTGATGTGATTTGCTTATTTCCCTACATGAGCCACTAGTTAGGGTGAAACCTGGAATGTGTGTGCAATCAAGTGGTTGTTGCGTTAACCTATGTTCACTAGAGCATAGTATTGTGAAGTGTTGTAGGTGTTTGGTCAAGTAATATTTCTATGTCTGTGAGCTTGTTTCTTAAAGACTGAACATTTTGATGCAGTACATATAGATAGAGTTTTGGGGTGTTGTGGGCTTTCCTGTTAAGCATAGTTGCTACAGGTCATATGTGGGAGGTGGTCTGTGGTTGCAATGAAAATTGAACGTTGGCTTAGGATTTGGACTAGGAGAGGAAGTTGCAGCAGGTGTGAGAGTGACAGGAGTGGTCATTGGGATAGCATCATGAAATGGAGGTGGTGGGGAGGGGGGGAAGGTGAAGATGGATAAGGTAGTGTGGAGGTAGGTGGAGATGGTGGAGTAGGTGGGAATGAGGTGAGTGGCTTTGAGAATGGGAAAGAGCTCAACACTTGTGTTAATGTGGCACCAAGTTTCTGCTTGCCTACCTGATTTAGGTGGAGACCATGTTTTGTAAATAGGTTTCTTGAGAGAGTGTCAAGATCATATAGTGTAATTGGTGTCTCCCTGAAGTGATTTAAATGTTTGTTTGCCATTTTAATTTCATTGTTTGTGGTAATGTTGTTGTGCCAGGTGGGGCAGAGTAGTCATGATGACATTAGAGTGAGTGGTAGTCTTTAGAATTGTTGGTAGATGTTCTTCCAGGTTAAATTTACTGTCATGATTTATGTTGTTCTGCTCACCTATAATTACTATTGTGTCACGCTGTCCGAAGGAACTAGTCAGTGTGAGTAAAAGGCTGGCATCTGCATTGGGTTTCCCCAAGGCTTAGGATCGACTGACTCATGTGGAACGGCTAGTCACACAAAACCCTTCTCCACATCAGCCCTCCAGGGTCTCGCTAGAGTATTTGCTACTACTACCAAAATCCACAATTGGTATCTTTGTTGATGTATAACTTTTAACATATGCTGAGTAAGTGCAGCACAAATAGAAAATTTTAGCTAATTTTTAGTTTTTTAGTTCTATGGCACTTAAACCAATGACAAAACAATTCACAACAGCCACAACTATCATTTTAGTTTTTGTTTATTAAAGAAAATTAGAAAAGAACCTCATTCATGCCCCATTTTAATGATTACAGTTCATCAATTTTTATTATTACAATTTAATGAGAGTTTAACTCAAATACAAATAACTTGTGTTTTAAATCTTTTATATAATTAGCGAGTAATCTGTGAAGTTGGGCTTGACTCCACAGAATGTGCTTCAGTTAAAGCTTTATAATTTGTATTGTTATTCACAATTATTATACTAGATAATAAAATAATTTGCAAATTACCTTTCAAAAAAAGGGAGAAAAAGTCTTCACAAATTTTCCAATTGCATAATAGAGTTCAATTTTAATACATTACTAGAGTTCAGAATGCACTGTAATTCTGACATGTACCACAGTGTTGCTTAATTCAGCACTTCTCAATTAACCAAATCAATGTTTCTTAAAGTTAATGTTTGCATTTGAAGAATATAATATTTTCATGCAAATTGTAGTATATTTACATCATCATCAGCATGTTTACAAAATTTGTAGAATATAACATTTTCATGCAAATTGTAATATATGTACATCATCATCAGCATGTTTACAAAATCCTTTGTATCAGCAAGAATTAGGTTAATGAGTTAATTTATTGTTCACCAAAATTATTTTCATAAAAAGTAGATATCATTTCAAACAGAACTAGACTCAATGTGCAATTTCACAATGGGATACAAAAAACCTACAGCAGTAGTTTTCCGATCCGCTTTGAACATTATGAATTTGTCTAATTTATTTACACTTACAACTACTAATACTTTATAGAAACAAAATTTGAATATTCAGCATAGAACAAGATCAATACACCAAAAAACTAAGTAATTAACAATCATTACATGAATTAACATATCAGGTAATTTTTAAAATATTTCCAAACTACCACTTTGCCTTGTGATAAAAATGAAACGATGGTGCAGTTTATGAAAAAAGCTCCCTCCGCTGACAAAAAGAATAAATTGATACTTAAGCTGTGTTAATACTAATGCCGAAGCAAGAGCGAGTACAGAAAATTAAGAATTAATTATTTTGCAGTAACTAACCAGATGAATGTACTTCTATTCAAATGTAATATTTTGTAGTAATCTCTGCAATGTAAGGGCATGTAGACTGTTGAATATTGTCTCAAAAATTAAATAATATGATAAACCAAAAAGTGAAGGAATTATCACAAAATATTGTAACTAAATTTGAAATCCAAAAAGTAGAAGACTTGCACTTGTTTTCTTAAATTCCAAATATTATATTTACTCTGTTTCAGGAATGTTTAAAGGCTTTGTACTGTTAACCTATCAAAATTATATCCATGGATCCCAACCAACCCATGCTCTCCCTAAAATATTTGGGTCAACAGCTAAGTCCATTAAACATTCTACTTGTTCTGCTGGTGTCAAATTAGTTGCATTAGTTCTAGCTCTGAAATTGAAAGATTTTGCACTATTAAGAACTTTCAAGTAATCATTTAAATATTTAGACGATCCATGCCCTGCTTTTAGTTCCTCCACTTCTACTGTTAAAGGGTTAACACCTGCCAACTTTCTTTTTGCTATTGATAACTTTTCTTGTGGTAACCACTTGATATTTTCATTTTTGAATCCTTTATTTTGTTTAGCCAGTTCTACCCAATTTATAGATGGTTCATGAACAAACACCTCCATGGTAGCTAAAAGAGTTTGATTGGCATTCCTTAAAGCTCTTAGTGTATGGATCATAGTTCCTTGCAATAATCCTGTGCACTGAAACGGTTCCATCAAGTTTATAATGTGTGGAGTCATTCTAAAGGGCATTAATTCAGGTATGGGAAGGAACTGAATACCACAACCAAAGGCACATCCAAAGTCAATTCCCACACAAGACCCATCACGTTCCCTGACCAAACAATTTCCCAGGTGACGGTCACCAACACCCAGTATCCAATGGGAAATACACATACTTGCATATTTACAGGCAAATTTCTGACGCCGTGCAAAAAATTCTTCCTGATTTATGCTAATCTGCAAGAATGCACGTCTGAATATATCCCCTGGTATTAAGGCAACTCTCTTCTCATAAGCTTGAATAGTTTCCTCCCTACTGTAATTTCTATATGCAATGCGATGCATTGCTTGCACATTAGTTTCAGAACTCCCCGAACCTAATTTTAACCATTCTATGTATGTGTCAGTTGCTTTCTTGTAATTGTTTTGTTCTTCTTCATTTAAATTAATTTCCAACACATTTTTAAGAGTTTTGGTGTCATCAATCCATTGAATGATACCAAGTTGACTAGTAAGAGGTATTACCTGGTATGTAGCAATATTTATTTGTCTAGTTAAGCATGGTGGATCTTTGGAAAATATTGTGTTCATTACATTAAATAGTTGTTGAATTCTTTGATCTTGTCGTAAGTCTTCACCAAATTTTACAAGATATGGATATTCTTTGCCGTTATTTCCAATTATTGTCAGTTTAATTGGCAAACGCAAAGAATTAATTACACAAACTTCAGGAAGAAAGCCTGCAATTCTAACATGATGGTGAGGAACTGGGTGATTCTCACCAGTATACTGCCCAGGCAATTCTAGGTAATCCCCCCAAGGTGACATTTGGAAGTCACTTAACCATGGACTGTGCTTTCTCAAGGGTACCTTCCTAGCAGATTTTTCTCTTACTTTCTCTTTAACTTTCTGTTCCAATTGTGACCTTATTTGTCTCAGAATTTCCAATCCTTTGATTTCTTTCTTAATGATGTGAGTTAATGCTTTGTCTAACTGAGGATAACATGAATTTAAAACATCAAAACATGATCCTTGAACTGGGTCCCTCAATTTTATTTGCACAATTTTATCTTGCAAGTGTTTACTAGCTGTTTGAATTTCCTCAGATATAATATCTTGTTTGCAGATATTTAAAACCTGATCAATATGATGGGCCAAAATTATTTCTGGCTGAGCTAAACATGACATTGCTTTCAAAAACATTTCTATCAATGGATTCTGCATCAGCAACAAATTCAATTGGTCAAGCACAATCTGAGGGATACAATTTGTGTTATATTTTTCAAGGCTAATATGATATGGCCACGTCACTGCTTGAGGATATGCTTCTGCCACTCTTAGAACAATCTGATGCAGAGCCTGGCCAATTGGCTTATCCAAACAAGCCAAAATTTGGCCTATCCATTTTAAAAACATCCACTCAGCTACTTCAGCACTTTCCATAACAAACCTCTCAATCCATTCTGCTTCCAAATGAGTGTTTTGCAACAAACGAGGGAAAAGGTAATGGGCATCTTTGGAACCATATTTCATGGCACGAAGAATGGCTACTAGGAAATCGATTTCACTAATTATCTTTACTTTTGTAGTTTCATAAAATTCAGCTATTTTAAAGTAAGCATCAGCAATAACAGAAGGTGAGGACTTATTTTGAGCTGATCCTTTTAGTGCTATGTTAACAGCAGTATGAAGATATGTCAATCCTGACTCGTGTAGAGAGTTCAGAACAGTATCTAATTCTGCACTTGTTGTGCTTATCCACTTTTGAAAATGACATCTGTTTTCCTCATTCAAAGAGTGAATGGCTTCTGGATGAATTTTCATTACTTCCCACACTCCTTTAGCCATTGTGCCCATTAATTCACACGCTTGCAGCTGAAGCAACCAGTCATCATTCCATTCTTCAGCATTGCAAGGATTATGATCCAGTAATATATTACAAGCCTGGATCATGAAATTAAGATTTATTGGTTTAGTAGTGCTTTGCACTGATTTGAGCCACAGATATCGGGCATACATTATACTCCACTGTAAGTTCAGTTTAAGTGGCAATGTAATAAGCTTTTCCTTTGAAGAAAATATATATTTTTTTGCCACACAAATATTATTTTGTACTAAAGCTGCATCTACCATTGAGAGTTGCATTTCCATTTCTATTATCTCCAAACTGTGAGAATCACTGGAATACTTTTCCTTAATATGTTTAATGAATTGAGTTCGATATGCAAGCTTGCGATCCCAGTCAAGTAATGAACTCATTCCATTGGGTAAACTTCCTTTCCAAAATGATTCCAGTTGTTTTACATCTTTTTGCACATTATTTGCAGTCACAAAGTCTAAGTACACCTGCAACTCTGATAATCGATGAATATCACGAAGAGCTGTTGCTCTCTGTTTAAATCCCAACGTATTCATATTAATCCAATCATTTAAAAACTGAACATAACATTTATTTGAAAACACCTGTGCCTTTACAAAATTTTGTTCAAATGCATAAAGAACAGCTAACTCTTCAGTGAAATGCACTTCCATGTGCTCTTTTTTTGCTTCATCCTGCAACCAGACTTGAAGGTTTCTTAAAAATATACTACTATCTTCTGTACCTATCAACTGAATTTCAGAAGTAAGGAGCTGCGGTAATAAATGCTGTTTGTTCCACAGATGACTCCATAGCAAATCCCACTCACCATCTACTTCTTCATCCACACATTGATACAACTGTTTCCACTCAGAGAGATTGGCTAAGCACTGGTAGAAGGCTTCATAATAAAAATCTTTTATGTAGCTGGGATCGTTACTACTGATAGCATCTCTGTAATGATCTTTGGCATCTCTCCATTTCCCTTCTGCCTCTGCCTCCAAAGCAGACCTTGCAGCAGCACATGAATTAAGCTTCTCATGAAATACTCCATGTACAACATCCCATTCTTCCATGCCTTGATAAAGTTCGGCAAGTCGAAGCCAATAATTCAATTCAACATCAACATCACTGGCATTGCTCTCATGTTGATAATTTATCAAGCTTTTCTCGAGTACCAGGCTTCCAAGCATTAATAAACCTGTCTCTTGACTCACTGATGAAACTATATCTGCAGGCAAACTGATATGTTTATTACATGACAAGATCATTTCAAATATTGAAACTATCAGCATAGGTGTGCCTACAGTCTTTTGCATGACTGAATAGAAAGCTTCAGAAATTGCAGAGGAAAAAGAGTTCAATTCATCATCTTGAAGGTTGGCTAATATACCCGAAAAAAGCAAACTCAACATCTGACATGCTACAGCTGAATTATGTTTTGACAATGCTTGAAGAGGTTTAAAAATGGATTTGTATGGTATCTCCACATCAGGAAAATCACCTAAACGATATGTACGATACAAAGATACATTAGCTTCACGCTGCCTCACACGTTCTTCTTGTAAAGTCTGTCGTCGAGTGGCACGACGCGCCTCAAAGAAAGCATGCATGCGGCTCACCTGCTTTACGTCTTTGAGTAAACGTCGACTCTTGAGATAAGCTGACAGTTCTTTTTCATTGCTGTTAGAAACATCTGTCATTGAACTATAACGTTCTGGAAAACTTTGCTGAGTGCCAGATCCAAATGTAAACATCAAGCTTGAACTAATAGTAGATGCATTACTCTGTGACATATCTAATGTCGGTTGGAACCTCATTGTTGAGTGACTTGCTTTAATTTTGAATTGTGTTGGAAACACAGAATTTTGTGTTGAGACCATGGTCCCAGGTAACTGAGAGAATAGAGGAGCTAAAGGTGCATGTTTCATTCGTTGTGAAACAAGAACTTGCAACTGCTTGAAGTCACACTGAGACAAAGGATACTCAAATATATTTGTGTTAAACTCCGAACTAAATGTCACATCATCCAACAGTAAATGTAATGCATAACTCAAAAAGTGTTGCTCAGTCTGAGGAGAATACATGTTTTGGAAGAGCCCTAAGAATCGATTCGGCATCATTGGTGAGAGATGTTTTTCCTCATTCCAAAACTTAAAAATAAGTTCCTGTATATCAGGGTCACTGTCTACCATACCCTTTAAAAGGATACCTTTTCCATCATCAGAAAGTATATTCTGTTCATATGCCCACATCAGTATTTTAAAAATTGCTAAGCGACATGGTGAATTTCTTACTGTTGAAATATTCACACACAGGTTTATGAGTAATAACTGTTTTTCTGAAGTTAGTTGAGGCAACATTTTGTTGATCAATACCAAAATTGCTAATTGCATGTCAACATCTCCATGCTGAAGTAAAATCAATAACCCTTTGTTTTCCAACTCATTAAAAGCAAAATCACCAAGAATTTCAATTCGCGCTCTGATCATTTCAATACACATTACCTTAAACTTGCCATGCACTTTAGGCAAATGGTACAGTATGTTCTTCAAAAAATCATCAAGAATCAGGGTATAATGTCTATGAATACTGTGTAAACATAAGAGATATTTATCAGTATTTTTCTCCACATTATAAATCTTTTGTTTAACAGCGGTAAAAATTTCTTCATTTTGTTCTACAAGGTTCTCTTCAAGATTTGGATTGATGTGTTTCAAACACATTCCAAGAACTTCTGCGCATTGGCAAAGTAGTTTGTTTGTAGGAGAAATGAAAGATAAAACATGAGTGAAAAAAGTCTTTTTTCCAATATCATTCCAAGGTTGAATACCATTTACCAAAAAAATACTAGCAATATGTATAGCAGTCTCACAACCAGATGTATCATCTTTCGAAGACATGACCAATAAATCTAATAGTTTCTGATGAGGGACAGTGATACATTCCCTCCACACTTCCACTAAAGTACGAATAACCTCTAAATTACACTTGAGAACATCTCTTCTTTGAGAACGTGCATTTGCAATTAAAAACTGCAAGATTTCACGAGCCAACATTTTTTCTGATTCATTGGATGGAATTGCAGTTTCATGCCATGAAACCAACATTGCAATCGCATCCATTACCATATAGTTAATATCATATCCTAAACATCCATCTACGATAATTTGCATGACTGGATAAAGCCAATACGATGCAAATGGCTTGAATATATTAACATTATTCACTATAAGCTTTGTGAGAAACGAGCGAACATTGTAATGCTTAGAATTATCCATTATACTCTTCCGCATTTGCTCCATCCACGATGGAATTTGTGGTTGTGGATCTCCAACTTTAGGTATTGTATAAAGATTTTTGATAGCCATATGTCTCAATAAGGCGCAAAGTGTTCCCATGCACTCATGTTTGTTTATTACATCATCTTCAAGAGAAACTTCTAAACAGGAGTTTATCTCAGGTGGAGACTGATGTACAGAAGTTGTGAAATCAAAGCGTGTAATATCCTCTGCCAAAGTACTATTCACCAGTATTTGAGTATCAGTTGGTAGATATTGTACTTCTCTTCGAGTACTTTGTCGAATGCTAACAAGAAGTTTCCTCTGGTTGGGAATTTGTTCCCAACAAATCGGAAAAGAGTAAATGTGTGTACAATCTATAATCTTATCCCACAAGCTTTTTCGTTCTTCTTCTTTGAAAAGAAGGCCAGTGTAAAATTTTAATTCTTTCTTAGTACTGCATACAATCACAACTAAAACAGTATATGCAGAACACTGCATCTTGCGAAATAATTCTTTAATTTGAGAATTCTTCATTGAACTGTCGGACAGGCTTTCATTACGAGTACGATATGCTTTCCCTGACAATTCACTTATTAGTCCTTTTTCTAAGTTCATGCCTTTAGTTATTGGGCATTCCTTTGATTCTAGTACTTCAGAGGAAACATGGGAAAACAGCATTTCAATCATCCACCAGCACCCAATCCTCGACACTAAATTATGTTCAGTTTGAATTGTGCGAGCAGCCTCCAGTGGAACTAAGCTTAATAAATCAAAAATTTGTTGCATATGTAAAGTGAAAAAATGGACAACAGTGTCTTCATGACTGTGCCTAATGAGTGGTACAACAAAATATTGAACAGAGTTCATTCTTATTTGAGGGGAATGCAGACTACATTCTATAAATATATTAAACCCCACTTCAATTGCTTTACATTGCATTGCAGAATCCAATCGAGACACAAATTTGGGGAGAGTTAACTGAATTTTTTTACAACATATATGGTTGTCTTCACGAACTGCCATAGCAAGTATTCTTTCAAAGAGATACAGGCTTCCAGTGTTTTGTATTATTAAGAGTAATTTGGAGAACATTGAGACAAAACTATCATACTGTAAAGACCCAACCTTTAATTCACAAGTATCTTCTGGAAAAATTTGGCAAAATTTTTGGAAAGCATCTTTTAGATCATCAGAGAAGTAGGCAGGCGAACGTATGAGATATGGTACAAGATCCAGGATTTCATTATGAAAAGATGGGATCAAATTACTTTCTGATACATTGGATAGTAAAGTTAAGACCCAAGTTCCACAAGGTTTTGTTGCCATGCAACCTGCAACTTGTTCTGCACACAAACTAATTTCTTTTAGTATAAGTAACACAAAAGTGGTATTTTCCTTACTCAAAGATGCCCATTCTTCTACAGTATGCCAATGTTCCAAAAAAGAAGAATGTAATTGTTGGCTTAATTTTCCACAAGTTTTCCGGTTTTCTAATGCAAACTGACTAAGTTGTAATAGAAGAGTCATAGTTCTACGACTAGCAACTGGCTTTCCAAACAAAGTTTTTAATGTTATACCAGGAAAACAAAGTAAAGGCATCAGAGTGTTTTGCTTAAAATTGGATTGGAAATGCTCACCATGCTGAACTGAAGATCCTGTCCCTTTAACATTGAGTTCAGTTGGGTCCAAGAGTAAAGTAATAAGTGCGGAAATTTGTTTTCCGCCAAAACAAGCTAATTTAAGAAGCAATTCTCCAAAGGTCTGAGCTGATGGATTAAGATCAACAGCCGTGTGCTGGTTCTGAGAAACCTCTTCTACAGCTTCAAAGCATGCATGGAGTAGCCAGTTCTGAAAATGTACCACACTCTCTCCTGCATCACCAGATAACTGACATTGCTGATATACTAACATTCCCAGTATTGCTGCTTTCAGATCCTGAGGACACTCATCTTCACAAAGCACAGTTTTTGTTTCTTTTTCCAATGTTGACACCCAGTTCTTGAAACTTTCTTGAAGAACTTCACATAAGTTACACCAATAAAGTGAAGAATCTAGTGTTGTTTGAAGGCAAAGAAGAAGGTTTTGCAAACATCTGTGCATTTCAATAACTGCTTCCTCTTCTCTAACTTCAAAACCAAGAGCAAAAGAACTGAATAAGCATTTGGAAATAAAGTGCCACATGGTAGAGTTAAAAAACTTATCTGATATTAGCCGAAAACCCTTCGTATCATCTTTGTTTGTTAAGGTAAGTAACATAAAATTAAAAATATTTTGTATGATAGTGCTTTTCTCTAGCAAATACAAATTATGCTCTACGTGAGTTGTTTTGTGTTGCTTCATTATATTATCCAAACTCAATTCTTCAGTATTCAATCTTAAAAAAAGTTCAATACTATGGATAACATGAGAAGCTGGATCCATCAAAAGTTGTTGGACAATGGAGCTATTTTTATACAACCAAATATAACAGTCGAGAGAGGATTGAAGGAGTTTTAACCAGTTCAAGATGTTTGATGGTGATTTCTCCAATTCTGATGTTTCAATTGCAAGAGATACACTACTGCTATATGAATTTTCACTGGGAATTCCTTCCACGATTTCTATAAGTTTTCTAGTACTCTCTTTCTGAATAAATTCATTAACAAAAGAATCAAATGAATTACAATTTTCAATAAGCGGTGCAAGTGTGTACACCATTTTCATACACTTATGTCTGCAATTTTTGTTTTCATTTTGGCATTGAATAAGCAACCACACAACTGCATCAGACAGCAAAACACCAGTGAATTCGGGAGGCTTGTGACGCTTTCTGGAGAACTTGTTGAACACAGAAGCCTTTTCCTTGAATACACGGAACACATGGTCCACTGCCTGCTCTGTCTCAGAAACTACTCCCATCACTGCATTAGCTTGTAGCAAAGCTAAATTCTTTACCATGAAAAACAACAGTTCCAAAAACCATGTATCTACTACTCCTTCATCTTCTCGAAGGACTCTGTACACACTGTTAAATGCTAGAGCACCTCCCAAACGCTTGCAGGCACTGGGATGGCCACACAACATGCAAATTCTTGTAATAATCATCTCAATATTAACTGAGGATTTCTCAAGACGATGGGAAGTATGTTGTTTTATGGACCACTCCACAAACTCTCTTAGACACCTAGCTGAAATATCCCTTAAAGATGAATCAGATGGATGGGCTATTCCATCTAACAAAGTATTAACAAAGATCTCACTATTCTTACTTCGAAGTTGGAAAGGACTAGAGTACCAATGAGCAAGTTGGTAAATCAAAGGATTAAATAGCTGAAAAACAACATCATCAGAATCACAACCAAGTTGTAAGACAGGAAGAAAAATTTTTTCAAATATTTCAGACATTTCACTACAATCTGTGTCTGCTGTTTGCTTGCTGGTTCCTAACATAAGTATAATAACTGCATGTAGCAATTCACAAGCTGCCAGTCTTGTCTGACGATCACTGCAATTTACTGTCAAGTCTACAACATGGGGAAGTAAAGAATCAAGGTAAATGAAAATATTAATATTTTTAAAAGGTAGTTTTAATTTCAATTTCTTTGTCTGAGTCCCAGACAATACGGTGTCAGATTGAGAATTCAGAAGTGTTAAAGCAATATTAAAATCTAATGGTCCTAAAAACGAAATAATGTGTCTTTGCAGTTTAAGTAGGTCTGAGTCTGGCATTTCTACAAGCTTTTTACGTCTGAGAGAATACCGTTTACGCCAATGACGACCTGATTGTAGGAATTCTAATTCTTTATCTGTACCAATATCTGCGCTTCTATTACGAAGGAAAGGTTCCAATTCTGGAACAACAGCTTCAAGAATTGGGTGCAGTGTCTCCGGAGGAAGGGCTGATTTCCATTTTTCAAGAGCAACCAAGGATTCCGATGCTAATTTCAGGTAACTACGTCCAATTTTGAAAGCTACACGAAATACTTCAACAGCATGAGGCAAAATTTCAGAAATAAAAATTACAGGAGTCTCTAAAAATACACGGATACAAGCAATTTGCAAATCTCCCTTGAAATTGTTAATGTTAGTAGGCAATATTTGTAAATATTTACAAATCAATTGAGGAAGATACTTATTTTTGTCACAATTACTAGTTTCTAGTTCTTGGAAATACTGAACTTTCTCACAGAGATGAAAACAAATACCCAGTAATTTGTAAAATCCACTTGCAAGAGGGCTCTTAATCGACTCTATAATCATGTTCTCAGCAAAAGGCTGAATCCATTTTGTGAATAACAAATTATCAGTCTTGGGGAGCCAAGATAAACAAAATTCAACAAGATTAATGAAAATCATAAAATCGTGAATATTCTTAGCTTCTAAACCTAAATTTGTATCTTGAGAATTTAATAGATAATCTGTTTTATGAGAGACTTTCAAATCAAGTTTCTTTAAAATTTGAATTACTGTTCTGATCAAAGTGTCATAAATTTTTATTACAACTTCCTGTTTTATTCCAATAGGAACTTGAATATTACATGAATGATGAGAGTCAGTCATTATACACCACAAAGAAACATATTGTTCATGTTCTGATGATGAGCAACTCCGAATGAGGCTTTGATACACAACTACACTTATGAAATTTTCAAACAATAGCCCCTGCATCACTGAGAGACTATACACAAGTGACAATAAAGCATGAACTATAGGAGGCTGAAATTTTGAAGGTGTTACACCATACATGTGAATTAGGACCACTGTCATGTGCTGCAAACTTGAAATTTCATTTTCAGAAAACTTTGAATGCATGGCAATGTTTGCAATGCATTCCACATAATATGGCAGATTCTGGAGAGATTTCTGGGTAGCTTTTGTCAACTGATCCAGGGGCAGATCCATACACAATTGTTGTGCTTGTTGAACCAGTAAATTGAGTAAAGATAGCAGATTCTCACCAGACATAAACTTCAAGCATGACTGACTGAACTTTCCTAATCCTTGAATGATATCTGCCTTTTCTTCCTGACTCACAGACATTAACTTCTCTTTGAAGTAATCAATAAAATATTTTAAAACATTTCTAGCATGTTTTTCATCATCAATTTCCTGTAAAGATAACGATATTACTTCATAAAAAGTTAGAAGAGAATTTCGACCACAAACTTTGTCTTCTGGGTTATTAGCATGCAGCCAAACAATTAATTTTTCATGCCACCATAAATAATCCTCAAACACGTATTGCTTCAATAAAATTCCATGTAGATGTAATACCTTCAATGCAGCTCTCTGAACAATTTTTCTATCAGATTGATAATTTGAATAGATCTTTACATATGTATACACCTTTTGCCTGCATTCTCTGTCATCTTCAATGGGCTGAGAAAAGGTGTGCATGTACTCGGCCAGGCCATCAAGACAGCCTGATGCTACAGCAGCTGACAATTCTCGACGCTGGCCCTGTTTGTCTAACTCATGAAAATACAGTCTAAGTAGTTTCCCAGCATTTGTAGTCATATTTTCAGGATAGAATCGTGAAATGGCACCTAAGAGATGACATAATTTCTGCAAAACTTTTGGAGCCGGTTGAAAATGAATCTCTTTAAATAAATCTTCAACAAGTTTATTCATATTCAAATCTTGAGTCCATGAACCTGAACTTACTACTTCATAGAGACAGTCATAAGCCTTTTCTTTCTCCATTATTGATGTATCAGAACGAGATACACACATCATACACAACTCTTTAACAATCAACACAAATGGAGACACATGTGCTCGGTAATGAAACACAAGATACTTGAACAGGCGTAATGCTTCCACCACAGCACTTTTATAAGTTTTCAAAGTAATGGCCTTTTTAATTGCAGGAACAATTCCATTTATTTCATCGAAGATAACTGACAGAGCAGCATTAATTTCACTGTAACTTAATTCTTCTTCAAAATAATTTGATATATTGCATATGCATCCCACAGCAATGGAAATATTTTCTCGTTTGGATAAGCAAGTGTTCAAACAGTTTAATGATTCCAAAACGCCTGCCATTATGAAAATAAAATACTTTAACTACTCTAATATTTTCAAACGCCACAAAGTTAAAAATGAAATAATGTTTATTGCAAAGAGAGTAAACAATATTTAACCTAATGCCTAGTCTTTATAAAAATCTTTTCTGCTCAGTAGAAATCCAGAATGACTCAACTAATATCCCTTCATCATGATTTCGAACACACTTATTATGGTCTTCAAAATAGTAAAAAAGCACCTTCCTTGGCATAAAATACAATAATCCTTCCTTGTCACACTATAATATTAAAGATACAGCACAGAACCATCTGGATTAATTTGAACTTCTTCACCTTTAATACTCCCTCTTCTTCACCTTTAATAACAATCATATAAATCAGCCTCGTGCATTATTACTTTCATATCCTTTCTCTAGCGTGTTCAGAATTGATCGCAATCCAAAAAATTTTCCAATGTTCACATACACTCCATAAGTATTTTAATGGCAGCTTCAGCTGTCACATTGTTGAATAATTGAAACCCATGAACTTTTAATTGAATAGTCTTTCGTTCAACTAACAAAACGGACGAAAAAATAACGAACATTCATTGTAAATTATTGTCTCTCCTTGGTAACTTGTCTGACAACGCCCGTTCTCGGGCATCTCTGTGATAAGTAACATACATTGTAAGGAACAAAAGCAGCAACAGGCCAACAGTGCTCCAGAAGTGCCGCTTCCCGGCAGGTTCAATACATATTGTTATCAGACATTAGTTATCCACATGGTGGAATTATCCTTACAAAATTACTAAAACTTGTACCATAAATGTCATTTCAAGAGCGTGTCAGTAAGAACTTCTAAACGTTCACTAATGATTTTAATTTTCATTTACAACGCGCCCACTTCCGCATTGGTGAATAACGCGAACATCAGGGCCTGCAACTCTGGAAAATACTCTGCTCTGAACTCTGTCTCCACAGAGACTCTCCATCAAAACCAGGGACAAAGCTCGAGGGTGCTACTATAGGAGGCGCTAGTGTTGCGGTGGTGCAGCTGCCTGTTTGGCTTGTCAACATTCTCACATACGAATTGGCTAATTTGTGAAAAATACGAAAAGTGTCTTGTAAATTCTCAATTATTCATAATTTACACTTATAAGAAAGCGCGAACATAGACGTTATCTTTTGTAACAGTATGGGCCTGGTTGCGACCCGGGAACTCACGTCGCAGCCACGCACGTTTTTAAGTATCTTAGGCAGCAGTTCGTATTTAGCTCCTGTAGAGAAGGTGATGCAGCAGAGCGCGCCACCGTAATGGTTTCCACCTCGTTATATGGGAGTTTTAGGGCCCTGGTGAACCCTGTGTAAAGGATTTATTTAACTACGCACTTGACGTAAATCAGCTTACCACGGCTTCATCCAATCGGGAGTTTCCCATAAAAGGTCACTGTAGCGACATATAAGCTCTCGATTGCATGAAACTGCAACATATTATTTACGTCAAGTGCACGACTAATTTATTTAGTAACATTTATTTAGTAAAACGCACTGTAAGTGAAAGTTCACGAATGTCCATAGTTTTTAACTTTATTCCTTGCTATAATTCACGAGATATTATACTATCAGGAGGCATTTTTGAATGTGGTAATATATCGATCACACATACCCTCACAGTCCACACACACACACACACACACACACACACACACACACACACACACACACACACAGGAATTCTGATGATCGTGGTAGGTCCTCGGCGGCGGAGGTGCGAACCGCAGTTAATGGTCTGATTTGCCTGAGGACGGTGGAGGCGGAGACGCAGGTTTCACCACAGACTTCTGATATTGGCCCGAATGCTGATGATGGTGGTGGGCCCTTGACAGCGGCGGCGAAGTTGCGGTCCACAGTAGGCGGTGGACGAACTTCGTCGAGGAAAGAGAGACCGCTGAAATCTGCGAAAGTGGCAGAGAAGAAGCTTTCAGAGTCGATGTAGGGAAGGAACATTCAACATGCTGAAGTCCCGCAGGCACTGCACAAACCGTCTGATGAGACACCACACCAAAATCATCAGATGGATTGGCATGTCGTAGGGAGGAAGAGACGTAGGCCGCCGTGTGTGTGTGTGTGTGTGTGGTGTGTGTGTGCGCGCGGCGCGGGCGCGTCGCGCGCGTTGCGTGCGTGTGTGCGTGCGTGCGCGTGTGTGGTGTGTGTGTGTGTGTGTGTGTGGACTGTGAGGCGGTAATTGCGATCGATATATTACCACAATTCAAAAATGCTCCTGATAGTATAATATCTTCGTTGAATTATAGCAAGGATAAAGTTAAAAACTATGGACATTCGTGAACTTTCACTTTACAGTACGTTTACTAAATAAATGTTACTAAATAAAATTAGTCGTGCACTTGACGTAAATAATATGTTGCAGTTTCATGCAATCGAGAGCTTATATATGTCGCTACAGTGACCTTTTATGGGACATTCAAACTCCGCGATTGGATGAAGCCGTGATAAGCTGATTTACGTCAAGTGCGTAGTTTAATAAATCCTTTACACAGGGGTTCACCAGGGCCCTGACCTCCATATAACGTGGTGGAAACCATTACGGTGGTGGCGCGCTCTGCTGCATCACCTTCTCTACAGGAGCTAAATACGAACTGCTACCTAAGATACAAAAACTGGCGTGGCTGCGACGTGAGTTCGCGGGTCGCAACCAGGCCCATACTGTTACAAAGATAACGTCTATGTTCGCGCTTTCTTATACAGTGTAAATTATGAATAATTGAGACATTTAGAAGACACTTTTGTATTTTTCACAATTAGCCAATTCGTATGTGAGAATGTTGACAAGCCAAACAGCAGCTGCACCACCGCAACAACTTAGCGCCTCCTATAGTATGCACCCTCGAGCTTTGTCCCTGTTTTGATGGAGAGTCTCTGTGGAGAACAGAGTTCAGAGCAGAGTATTTTCCAGAGTTGCAGGCCCTGATGTTCGCGTTATTCACCCAATGCGGAATGGGCGCGTTGCTAAATGAAAATTAAAAATCATTAGTGAACGTTTAGAAGTATCTTACTGACACGCTCTTGAAATGACATTTATGGTACAAGTTTTTAGTAATTTTGTAAGATAATTCCACCATGTGGATAACTAATGTCTTGATAACAATATGTATTGAATCTGCCGGAAAGCGGCACTTCTGGAGCACTGTTGGCCTGTTGCTGCTTTTGTTCCTTACAATGTATGTTACTTATCACAGGAGATGGCCCGAGAACGGGCGTTGTCAGACAAGTTACCAAGGAGAGACAATAATTTACAATGAATGTTCGTTATTTTTTCGTCCGTTTTGTTAGTTGAACGAAAGACGATTCAATTAAAAGTTCATGGGTTTTCAATTATTCAACAATGTGACAGCTGAAGCTGCATTAAAATACTTATGGAGTGTATGTGAACATTGGAAAAATTTTTTGGATTGCGATCAATTCTGAACACACTAGAGAAAGGATATGAAAGTAATAATGCACGAGGCTGATTTATATGATTGTTCATTAAAGGTGGCAGAGAGGGAGTATTAAGGTGAAGAAGTTCAAATTAATCCAGATGTTCTTGTGCTGTATCTTTAATATTATAGTGTGACAGAAGGATTATTGTATTTTATGCCAAGGAAGGTGCTTTTTTACTTATTTTGAAGACCATAATAAGTGTGTTCGAATCATGATGAATGGTTTATATAGTCGAGTCATTCTGGATTTCTACTGAGCAGAAAAGATTTTTTACAAAGACTAGGCATTAGGTTAAATATTGTGTACTCTCTTTGCAATAAACATTATTTCATTTTTAACTTTGTGGCGTTTGAAAATATTAGAGTGTTAAAGTATTTTATTTTCATATATGGCCAGCATTTTGGAATCATTAAACTGTTTGAACACTTGCTTATCAAACGAAGAAAATTTTCCATTGCTGTGGGATGCATATGCAATATATTCAAATTATTTTGG